GCCTGATATTTTCACCTGAAGCAAATGTAAAATCTTCACAGTGAAATCTATCCACTGATATAGTGAAGAACTCAGATCATTTACTGGTGGCACTGCTGGAGTCAGCTGGAATAGCCAAGAAGAATGATCAATTCTTTCCGTAAGTTCTTCAATTCTTTCCGTAAGTTCTTTCAATGAAGTGCAAGAAACACTTTTGAGACAGCCAAGTTAGAGGAATGCAGTACTTAGGCTTACTGAGAAATCCAAAAAAATCAGTCAGTGGCCCTTCCAATTTTAAGTCATGGGAGTAAAAGAGGAAGAAGCTATTTACACTGCTACAAGAGAGGTGAACGACATGACTGCATTTGATCAGACAAGCAGCTACATACCGTGCAGCCTGTGACTGAAAATCTTGGGAATTACATGTCTACGCTTACCCCATTCAATTCACAATTAAAACCAAAGATTCTTGGTTTATTACTCTTCTCCCACTGCACTCGAAGTCAGAGCCATGAAAAAGACTTAGTGGTTTTCTCATTTTTCCCACAAGCACACACTTATTAAGGGAGCCCCTGGTGGTCTAGTGGTTAAGGACGCGGCGCTGTCACCACCGAGGCCCGGGTTCGATTCCTGGTCAGGGCCACTCCCCGGGCAGATGGAGCTCGTTAGCCCTGTAAGGCAATCCATCTACGTCCTGAGGACCTCGCTGCCACCGTCCAAGCTCGCTTGGCCCCGGCAGATGAACTTTAGGATTAAAGGGTGGGCTCAGTTCCGCGCACACTGTGTCTCACCTAAAAAATCCAATGCGCAGGCTGGAAGGTGTAAAAACCTTCCCCGGTTCTTCGTTCGCGAAGACTGGCCTATATATAAGCGAAGAACAATCCTGTCAAACACCAACAAGTAATGATAAATAATCACTGGTTTACTCCTTGGAATCATAACTGTGTGGGTGCCTTGGAGCAAGTTTTCAGTTCATGTTTTAATGCTGTTACTCTAATGGCAATTGCCACATGTCAAGTGATGATGTAAAAAGGCATCCAGCCTGAGGATGCTGAAAGTGTCCAATGCTCCACAGAAGCCAAGAACTTGTCATAGTCATGGTGAGTCTGTGACGGGTAAGTACTATTATTATGAAAAATAAATTTTAAATTTATATGAAATTTAGAAGGACTTTAACTTCTTTTACTTCTCTAAACAAAAGTGTAGGATACCTTTCCAAGGCGTTCCAGCTTGCCCTCCTTCTCATGTTATTAACATTATAAAAGTTACGCAGTGTTTTAAAAATTTAATCATAGCCTCAGTTTCGTAACTTTCCACTAATGTGGATTCGATGATTGAACAACAGAATGCATAAAAATTCAACTGCTGTAGGAAGAGCATCTTTAATAACTCAAGGGAACAAATGCTATAAGTAAATAAAAATACACTTCCTAATTAATGAATATGCAAGCTCAGAGGTGGTTTAATAGAAAAGTGAAATATTCTTACTATGTACAGTTATTAAGCTAATAATCCCCACCATCCACAGTAGAAAAAAAAATGTGAAAAGTGTTATTCTCAACTGCAGAAAGCATGGACTAGAAGGCTTTTTAAACTCTCAACATTTTCTATGATGAGTAACTGTTTAAACATGAAAAACACTGGACTGAATTCTCTCTTCCTTGGACAAACCTAAAAAAGAAAGCAAATCCTCCTACTTGTCCTTCAGAACCCTCATTCTCACCAGCAAGTTGAGCCAGCAACAAAAAAAGAGAACAACCTAAGAACAGAGACAAAGTAAATCAGAAATACACCCAAGCACTCCAAACTTTAAGAGAAATACCAGTCAGAGTTTTAAAAAGTTTGGTGAGCATAGAAACTTGTGACTTAAAGTCAGTGTTACAGTAACACCTGGAACATTCAGAACACCAATTTGGGCTTCGATAACCCTATCTTAATATGGATAATTCAGTGAGGAACATAGAAAATGAGAATATCTTGAAAATGCCCTGATTTCATACTTCTGTCATAGATAGTTTTAATTCTAGTAACATCCAGACTAACATTACACAAGGTAGGTATTATAAAAATAACAGTATTAACACACAATCCAGATGCTCCTCTTTCCCATGAATGTTCTACTGAAGTCTTTAATGTTCATCATGCTCATACTTGCTAAAGTCACAACCATAAACCAAGAAGACAAGCTTTGAACAATGGCAGAAGAATGTGTCTTCAGCCTACACACTCATTATCTGAGTTTTATAATTCAATGAAAACATGACTTCCTTTCTCCTGTGAGTTTGATCCTGTTTGCACCAGGCAATAATTTAAGCTTTTATTCTGTACCACTGGCAACAAATCAGAAATTCCTTAGAATGGCAAAACTGCACTTTGGAGCAAAAGACAAGCAAAATAAAAATACGAAGGACTCCTGCCCTTTTACCTGCAATACCCTATCTTTTAACTCCCTTGACAACCAGCAGCCAGCACCTGGGATTTGGAGAGCAGAGCAGGCACAACTGAGCAACCACACTGTGGCGGCTGCTGCTACTTACAGGACAGCTCTCCTCAAGCACTGTTTTTCCAGTTCTCCAGATGAAAACACCTCAGAACGTCCTGTGTGAAACAGCAGCTGAAATGAAGCAGTACTCACAAAGCTATCACATGGCTACACTCTTTGTAAAAAGGAAGAACAATTCTTAAAGCTACCCTTACAGCTAGCTTTATAGCTAAATGAGAGCGTGTTTTAACACTTCCTTAATTTTATGTAAAACAGCATTAAATTGAAGGAAAGTGACAGCCCCTGCTTACTCAATTTAACCCACTGCAGACATAATTTCAGCTCAAAATTTTCATACTAATGCCCGTTGACTAGTAAATAACTACGATATACTGGTGGTAGTCACAATCACATGCAGCGCAGGTAAGAGACTTTAAAAGGATATTTTCACTGCCGTGAATTATACTGCTATAAAACACGAAAAACAGTAGATTAGGCAACTTCTAAAGCTTTGCATGTCCCACTAAACCCTTTTTCAAAGAACAAACCCTACAGCTGTACATTAGCATATGACTGCAAAGCATGACATCCCAATCAATCCCTGGACTTTTAGCAGGCCCGTCATCCCACAAGCATGGACTTTCACCTACTTTTCCCTTTGCACAATAAGAACCTCCAAACATCTCTATGGCAAAAGCAATCTTTCAGGTGCTGGCCTAAAACTTGGGAAATTTAAGGTACTTCATTATTGCTCTCATATACTTCTCTGCAATACCTGCAGAGCAATGCAAAAGTCCTAAAAAAGAACGACAGGAGCAGTCAGAAAACCAGCTACGAGCACTGCACACTTCCTTTTTCACATCTAGCTGGATTGGTTTTGGCAGAACTACCAGCAACACCACAATATCCCAGCAAGGGAAAGGGAAAAGACGAGCAGCAGCTCTGGAATGCTATATGGTCAACTGAGATTCATCCCATCCTGCCTGAATTTCCCAGCAAAGCTGCGTCCAACATGGGCACCCCTGCTGCCAAAGAAGAAATTAAAAGTCAAAATGCTGAACACAGGGAGCTTTGCACAAGCATACAAGCTGGGATTTGGGGGATTTTACTTACTTATTTTACCTCTTTCATTTTGCGCATGGTATGTCTGAAAATGTATCCTTGACTAAAAAATATGTTCAGTTAATATTTGTCAGAGCTTTCAAAATCCCCCTACCTTCCAAAAGGGACTTCTGCACCTGCTCAGAGCTGCTTATAGGATCAATGAGTTTTTTACTTATCTTTCAGAGGCTTCCAAAGCAAGAGCCTCACCTGCCACGTTGTCTCTTCCTTCCCCCTCCTCCACCATATCACACAAGACAGCATGTGCGCCCTGGTTCAGGCTACAGGAGGTGAAGTAGGATAAGCTCTACCTCTGTAAGTGCCCTCTTCCGAACGGGATCTGGTAAAGCAAAGAAGTCTGATGCTCCCCCATTTCGCTGTGCGCATCTTTTCCTATTCTATTTCAAATCAACTAAATTGTTGAGCTGCAATTCCTCACCACTTTAAGTACAGATATATACCCATGCTGAGGTCCCCACTAATAAGAAAACTAGCATTAACTTCGAACTAGTAGTCGCTTGGTCCCATAAAGTTTGTGGCAACACCGCCACAACCCCAGCCTTCGCTCTGTGACATTTCAGGCCCCTGCAGAGAAAAGGCAGCCGAAGCGTGGGTGGGAGCAGCCGGGCTGCTGCCCAAAGATCCTTTACACCGGGAAGCTCTCACGCAACTCTGTGGCTCAGAAACCACCTAACACACGGAGGGGAAAACCCCTCGCCGCAAGCAAGTCCAGCACGCCTTGCCGGGATGAGCAATCCGTGCCCGCGACCCGTTATGCAAGCGGGGAAGCAGAACAATGGCTGGGAGCAGCCCTGCACCCAGTCCCGGGCCGGGGCACCCGGACCACGAGGCAGAGGAAGCTCCCGTCCTCCCCACATCTCCCGAGGGGAACCACACACGTGCTGGAAGGGGGCGATGGGGCCGCGCTCGGCGCCGCCCGCCCGGCTGAAACGCTGCCCTACCCGAGATGGGCAGGACCCCGCCTGCGGTCTGGGGACGGCGCAGCCAGAGATTATCGCCCGGCTGTCGCGGGTTGCCGGGTTCACCTCAGGAGACCTCGCCCCATCTGCGAGCCCGGGGCTGCCCCAGCCGGCGGGGCTGACCCTGCGGGGGCGGGCGGCAGGTCGCGCCCGAGCAGCGGCCGCTCAGTCACCGCCGGCAGCGCCCGGCGGAGCGCGGGCAGCGCCGGCCGCCGCTTCCCTTCCCCGCTCCCTCCCTCCCGCCGCCGGCGCGCCCGGACTCCCCCGGGAGCCGCGCTCAGGAGCGAGCCGGGCGGCCCTTAGGCAGGGCTTAGCATTCCCGAGCGGCCAGGCCAGGTGAGGCCAGAGGGATTCAGGCCAGAGGGACTCAGCCCCGGCGCGGCGCCTTCCCAGCCGGCGGGCACCACGGCGCCGCACCTCCGGCGCTGCCCTTCCCCCTGCCCTCCGCGGGCGCTCACCAGAAGAACAGCCGGGAGCAGAAGTTGGCATCCTGCAGCGGGTTGGGCTTCTCCTCGCGGGGCACCGCTTCCATGCCGCCCGCCACGCCGCCCCGACCCACCCGGCGTGCGGCGAAGGCGCAGGACCACGAGCGACTTCCCAGCGCGGCAGCCGCCACCGCTTTGCCGCCGGCCGGCGCTGTTTCCGGGAGCGCCGGCACCCCCCGCCTCGGCCCTCCTCCCTCCTGCTCCTCCCGCCGCCGCAGGACGCCTCCTGCCGGCGCGGCTCCCCCGCGGAGGCTGAGGAGGCGCCGGGAGCCGCCCAGGGCGGGACGAGCCTCCGGTCGCGGTACTCGGCTCTGCTCCCGCTGGTTTCGCGCCTGTGCGCGTCCCTTGCTGATGCAGAGCATCTCTTCAGTGCAGGCAGCCCCAGTCGAGGCGCCCACCCGCCTTTATTTGAACAAAAAAACACGTCGCGAGTCAGGGGCGAGTCCAGCTTAACAGGACCAAACACCAGCAGAAACACTTGCTGTCACCGCGTCTTACCAGGTGTTGCAAATTCTTCTATTGAAAAACAAAAAAACAACGTGCAACTCGTCGTTTAACAGTGTTTAGGAGATCTTGGGGGTAGAAAGTAAAGTGGCTAATTAATTCCAGGAGATGGTGCATCACTGAAATCCACAATTCTCAGAAGTTCAGCAATGATCACCGCACTTCACTCATGTCACCTGTGACTTGCCACAGGGACTCTGATCAAAAGGAACAGAAGAAACTGCAAGGGACCTAAGAAAATAGGCATGAGGGACAGGTACCTGAAGTAACCAAAGACCTGCTAATCTCCATGGCAGAACGGTTCCCTGCCATGCCATTATTTCTCTGCAGCCTCAGAAGCACAGGATGGCTGAGGTTGGAAGAGACCTCTGGAGGTCCGCTGGTCCACCTCCCACTGCTCACGTGTCCTGTCCAGACAGCTTTTGAAGATCTCCAAGGATGGAGACTCCACGACTTCTCTGGGCAACCTGTGCCAGTGCTCAATCACCTCTACAATGAAGAAGGGTTTCCTGATACTCAGAGGGAACTTCCTGTTTTTCAGTTTGTGCCCATTGTTTCTGGTCTTGTCACTGGACATCACAGAGCACAGCCTGGCTTTGTCCTCTTTTCATCCACTATACACAATAATGAGATCCCCCGAGCCTTCTCTTCTCCAGGCTGAATAGTTCCAGCTCTATCAGTCTTTCCTCATAGGAAAGATAACTACAGTCCCTTCGTCATGCTTATGGCCTTTTACTGCAGTATTTCCAGTACATCCATTTCTCTCTTGCACTGGGAAGCCCAGAACTCAACACAGGACTCCTCACTTCTGAGTAGAGGAGAAGGATCACCTCCCTTGGCCTGCTGGTAACACTCATTCTCATGCATCCCAGCATATCTTTAGTCTTCTTTGCCACAAGGACACACTGCTGGCTTATGTTCAACTTGGTGTCCACCAGGACCCCCAGGTAGCTGCTTTCCATCTGGATTAACACCAGCCTGTACTGGTACCTGGGGTTGTTCCTCCCCAGGTGCAGGACTTTGTGACTCCCTTTTTTGAACTTCATGAGGTTCTTGTCAGCCCGTTTCTCTAGCCTATTAAGGTCCTTCTGGATGGCACCAGAACTCTCTGGAGTTGTATGAGCCACTGCTTCCAGTTCTGCGTCACCATCCTTGGAGGTGTTTAAGGAAAGTGCCACTGGATGTGGCACTTAGTGCCATGGTCTAGCTAACATGGCAGTGTTAGGTCATAGGTTGGACTTGATGATTTCAGAGGTCTTTTCCAACCTTACTGATTCTGTGATTCCATGACTGTGATCATCAGTAAACTTGCTGAGGGTGCCCTCTGCCTCATTATCCAGATCAGTTATGAAGATGACAGACAGTTTGGGGGCTAATGTTGACACCTGATGTATAGCCCTAGTTACTGATTTCCAATTAGACTTTGAACAACTAATCATACCCCTGATCTCCTAGACTCCTTACCAGGCCAACTGAGCCAGCTGCAAGACAGACCATCCTTATATTCTGTATTCATTTCATGCTCCCAGTAGCAACCAGCCCTACCCTGCTAAAATACATTGCAAGTGAAGCAATTGACAGTGAAACATCTGACTTTCATGGCAGGCATCAGAGTTGACACGTTGTTGAGATAGAGAAGGATTGGGGCTATATATTATTGAGGAAACAGCATCAGTTCATACTTGCAAGTGTTTCATCATAAGCATAAGTTAGACAAATCAAGCTTAATCAAGCTCTCAGTGAACACTGATGGGGCTGGAAGCAGCATGCTCTGCTTGTGCGTAGATGGTGTGCCACAGAATTTTGTGAGCAATAACACCTGTCAACAGCTGCCTGTAGATCCTTTCAGATTAAAACAAGGAAAAAAAAGGTACGGAAATGATGCAGTGGTTTGAAAGGGCAGGCTTTAACAAAGTAGTGCTTATGGATTCCAGAATCTGAATAATTAATTTAAATAATCTCCCAAAACATCTGAGGGAAAGCTCTTCCCATCAGCAAAATCTGACAGGGTTAGATTTCTGTGAAGCAAATTTGTCTAAGCAGGTACTTATAAGAGAATTAAAAGATATGACAGCCCAATGCAAGTCCCAAAATGTTAATTAAGTTTGGGTCAAGCAGTAGGAGAAAGGAAGATGTAAATCTTAAAACTGACTTCACCTTTGTGAAGTAGTTGTGCAGTGAAAGATTATATAAGCATTTCTTAGTTTGGGCAAGGAAGTAGTGGACTAGTCATGAACAAGTAATTTATTTTCAGAGTACAGCTAAAACTATTCAAGAAAAATATTACAATAACTTTTTTCAATGTTATTGTAATGATAGGAAAAGAGAAAAGAGCAAATCTTACGAAGTACATTTTTCCTTTGCCAGCATTATCAGTGATGAATGTTGGCACTACTTAATTTTAAAAGAAATACTAATGTTGACGTCTAAGTCCAAAACAAAAACACTCTACAAAGTTTTGGAGAAGGAAAAACTAAATGGGGAGGGGAAAATAAAACTCCATCAAAAAAAAAGAATATCCTGAAAGCGCAATTAACCTGTAACTCTATATGCCAAGTGTGCAAGAAACAGTTAGGACATGATTCAGTAAAAAAAAAGGTGTGAAGCTATTGGCAGAAGAGTTGCTCAGGAAAGTGTGAAACTGTCCATGGAGAAGAAGGGAAAGAGAAAATAGCACAGTAATGAAATTAATAATCTTTCTATTTTAGGAATCAAGAAAAATAACTGCCAATTTATCCACTCAATATTTTGCTATGGCAAAAGTATATTCACATGGAAAGAGAAAGATACGTGACAAACTAATCATTGTGACTTCATATATCTAAATTATTGTCGTAATATGGATAATGGTCTAGCAAAGCAAACTACTGAAATAAGGTAATTGCCAAATTAAGGCAGTAGCATCTGAATTAAACCTGTTATGCGTATACATTGTTCTAGGGAAAAAAATTCAGATCACAGAGAATGTCAGAATCATGCAAACACATAAGATTCAAAATTTAGTCAGTGCACAAGAAAGACAGTAGTCACTAAATAAGCATCTTTATGATGTGTGGCCTTATGCCTTCTTCGCTCTACTCTCTTCCCATTCTGAATACAGTCAGACTGAAACATATCTTCACATGCATTTTCTATGGCAGTTATCGCTAGAGTATGAAGAGTTTACAAACATCTGCTTTTCTCAAAATCCTTAGAAGATAATTGAGCAGTTTCAGCTGATTTCCAGATGGTGAATAAAAGCATGTGGATCTTAAGGCGAAATATAGGCACTGATCCCGATTATGTAATAGGACCCTGAAGCTTAGTCTTTTGGAGAATGTAGCACTGTAACTACTTTCCTTTTCAGGCCAGCAGCCATTGATTTCAGGTCTGAACAGTCTCTCCATATCATACCTCAGGCCCTTGAGACAGACACCTACAAAATCAAGAAGACACGGATGTATGTGTCTGAAAATTCTTTATAAAAGATTTGCTGAGCACTACATGGTACCTCTGAGGGAGTATTGGGGACAAAATCAAATACAAAGCTGTTTGAAAGACATTGGAGGAATTAGTCTTCCAAAGACAAGCTATGACAGCAGAATGTGAAGGCTTTGCAATTGTACATTGTTTGAGTGTAATGTTTTTGATTGCAACCAGGCAGAAAGGCAGACCATATGCCTGCCTGACAAACCAAACAGACAGTGTTGTATCCCACCACGCTGCTGGCAAGAAAGCAGGCTGCCCCGCTGGCTGAGAGCCCAGCTTGTCACTATCCAGTGGCCTGACTCATCATCTGGCTGACGTATCCACTGGGGAATAGTTTCTCATCCTTCTGCAATACAGAAATATTGACCTGTTCTTGTTCAGCTGCAGAACAGAAATGTCAGTGCTGCAGAACCGATCTGTAATTTTGCTGTTTCAATCTGCTCATCAGTATGTCATGGCAACAGTCTTTCTCAGATACTTTTCCTATTTATCCTTGTTACCCCACTAGCCATCCCTGTGTTCCCTGTATCTTTTTCTATACCCTGTAGTTTCTCATTTATGCTAATTGATGTATATATTCATTCTCCTTAAAGGATGGTGGCGTTTAGGTCCCTAAGTATAGACACCTTCTTACATTTTAAACGTGGTAGGGTGTTCCACGCAGCCACAATTTACCACTCCAGAAAGTTTCAGGTCTTCCTTTAACTGTGCCATACTTGCCTATCCTATGGTGATGTCCCTGATGCCTTAGAGATGACTGCAGTCATCACATTATTTTGGCCAATATGATTCTTTCTAAATAACTTTTATTTTCCATTCACATTTTTTTATCTGTCACACACATATACACACACATACATGCATACACAATATTTTTGCTAACTTTAGTAGTTTAGTTCTTTTGATGTTTGACCTTATTTGCTTCACACAAAAACTGTGCTAAAATCATTTATCCATAGAAAATAGTTTCTATTGATTATCTGCCAAGATAAATTCAAACCAGTTCCTTTATGTTTATAATAGAAAATTATTCATAAGTATTGGATTCATTAGAAAAATACCAGAAAAGGTTGTACTAAAGTTAAAACTGACACACCACCTGTTTAGTTGCCCCTAACAATTTCATCTCTTGTACTTCATGCACAGATCCTTAGAGATTGATATCTCTGTAGGATGATTTA